TATGCACATTTTGATTGTTAATATCTCGTTTCACAGACAGTCAAAAAATTTAATTTTTTTTAGTTACGTAAACGACACTTTCATTAACTTTATATTTCAATTTTATTAAATTCTTAAGAAAAGCCGTTTTACGAGTGAACTACCTTAAAGCAAGTGCCAGATGCGTATTATATTAACAAGTGAAGAGGGGAAATTCCAAACATTTTAAGTGCCAATTTCCTCAAAATTGAGATTTTTCTTATATAAGTCCTATGTGCCATCGCCAATTCCTAAACACGTTCTAAGTGCCAAATACAGAGTCCAGCCCAGACAGGATCCTTGCTTACTGTAGCACACAAAAGACGCAAACTTGCTTTTGCTCGCGAACATATAAATTGGACAGTGGACGATTGGAAAAATTTACTGTTCACAGATGAGTGTAGAATGTGCATATATTATGGAAAATATGGCCTAAATAAGGTTTACAGAAGAGCTACAAAACGTTATGCTGCCTATACTCGGTCACCTCGAGTTACTTTTGGGGGTGGCTCAGTAATGTTTTGGGCAGGAATTTATTTTGAGGCACACACGGATCTCGTTATTATTGATAGAGGCGCATTAACATCACGACGATACATAACATAGATCCTAGAAGAGCATGTACCATATGCTGGGTTTGTTGGCAATGGTTTTCTGCTAATGCAGGATAACGCGCGACCACACACGGCAAGGATAGTAACACAATACCTTGAAGATGTTGGTATTTCCAAAATCGATTGGCGTCTTCTAAGCCCAGATCTTAATCCTATTGAGCATGTTTAAAAAGATGAATTATATCGTAAATTTTTTAGGTGGCCCGTTTTCTCTGACGCGCAGTGTAGAGTAAGTTAAATTTAATGTGTAATTGTTGTTGTTTGTAAGAAGTCAGGATATATGACTGTATAATTTTATATTATATTTATTATAGAAATAAACTACACTCATTAAGATACGTGTTGTGACTAGTTTACAATTTAGACATAAATATATTATTTTACTTATATAAGAAGCTTTAAAAAGACATTGAATTGATTTCTCCTTGTGTTTTCTTTAGTTTTACATCTAATTTGTATCCTGTTTTGCAATCTGGACCGAAGTAAATCTTGCTTTGATGTCTTTTGTCACTCATGTTACTTGTACTCGGATACTTTTTTCATATAATTTTAATTCTTTTCACCAATTTTTTAAAAAATCACTTCATTTTACATTGACTTACATAGTAAATGAACGGCAGTGACATTCGACCTGCCAACTACAGTCAATTTGGCGAACTAAAAAAGAAGGACGGAAATTCGAATTTTAACCATTGCCTATTCGCCTCATCTCTAGTCTTCATATTTGAAATATACGATAAAAATGGAAAACAAAAGATTAAAACGCATTTGCAGAGAGGTATAAAAAACGCGACAATCTTATACAAACCGAAATAACAAACGTGTTCCAGCTCAGCCAGCTCCTCAAGAAAATGTTAAGTATTTTGCTTTGATAATAAATTTCAATGAATAGTTTTGATATAAAGGCGGGTACAGATCTGAGCACGTACAGATGTAGGCACTATCAATTTAAAAATTTGTTAATTTCTTACATAATTAATAATCATTTAAGTTAGTCATGTATCAATATAGTTAAAAGGACCACAGTACCACAGTATATAGAACGTTCCTTAAAAACTATTTTTTTTGCATGTAAGATGTGTGTGTTTAGTTTTGTACTACACATGTTACGAACGAATATATACCTTCAATACAAAAAATAATAATAAAATTTAACTTACACAGTTTTATTGTTTTCCTGAAAAAAATAGAAAAAGGCATTTAGAACGTTTGGAATTTCCACTCTTAAAGTCAAATAATCTCTTCAAAATAACACTTCTGTGGACCTAGAAACTCCTCCTCATTTCCTCGAAACGATTTTCTGAACTAAACGCCGAATTTCTGACCCTTCCATTTACCAACAAAATTTCCGAACTTAGTTTCAACATGTATAGGTCGCTGTTCCATTTCTAATTAAATTTTCCGAATCCAAGAGTTTGATAACGATCTAATTATCTCGTTCAACTTCGGTAACATTGTTGTTGTTAAAAGTCCGGTTGAATTTAAGGGATAAAGGAATTTGCAGTTGTTCCCATTCTCCGCAGTAGCAGCGATTTTTTTTTTTCAGGAAATTTTTATACAAATAGCAGAAAGTTTTAGTTCATTTCACGTTGTTATTACAAAACGTCTTTATAGATGCTACTAGACAGTAACCTGAAAACTTTTATAATCTTACTGTCAAAAGCAAAATGGTGTACTAAAACGTGGCATACTAAAAAGTTTCCGGTTAAATATTTTTAGAAACTTACAGAAATTCTGCAACTTTTATACCGGAGATTAAACTAAGGACGTTTACTTATATGTTTGCAGTGTATACTAATTAAGACGAATAAGGAGGCACTTTTATAATATGTGGATATTTTCTTACTGAAATAACTTATTATGACAATTATTTTAACCCATAACTACAGACGTATCGTATGAGCAACTTTATAACAGACGTGCGATCACAATGACCCATTCAATTAATAATGTACAATTATTTAATAAACAATTAACTTCATTAATATAACTGTGTTAAGTTGTTTTTACAACCTTTTTAAAACATGTTTAATAAAAAAAATATCCAATTGATAAAAGAAAATAAATTCAAAGGCTCAATAATATTCATATATTTTTTCGCATAAATCTATAACAACCATATATTTATTAAAATTAGTAAAATAAAAAAATAAAATTAGGACGTTTGTAGGTGCCTAGGCGTGCCAGAAGATGAAGTGATACACTTCGAAACCGGTCGCAGTATACAAAAAATTCAAATCTTTGTGAGATCTTAAGGACCTTTTCCTTTAATCCCTTTTATATAAATTGCTCAAAGAGCGTCGCATTGCGAAAGGCCATATTGCCTCGCAAGTGCCCATTAATCAGAATTGGTTTAGCAAAAATGTGTTTTAAAACTAATTTTCATCCTTTGAATATAGTAAAATAAAGCATTTCGTAACTGGTTGCATAAATAGCTATTTAATGTATTTCCTGGATAAAAAACAAATCCTGGCAAATCTTTATTTAGCATTTATATGGTAGTATACTAAAAATAATAATGATACCTAGTATATTCTTTATAAAACGAATATAAGACGTCTAATCCCTTTTTTGGCATTTTTTATTTGTACCTAGTCGTGCTAGGTTTTTTTAAACATAACTGAATTAAGGAGATATATTTTTTTTATAATTTGCTATAGTAGGTATGGTATTTTGCAACCATATTCTTATACAGAAAAATAGAGATGACAAATAATGTCAGATTGATACCAGTCAGGATACCAGGTTTTTTGAAAATTTGGTTAAATTTAGAAGCAACTTCCAGAGGAGGATATTCACAACATTGGAAAATGTGTTGAGTCCAACATCAATAAAAATGTATCGTAGATATCCAAGCAGCCACCATAGCGCTGGAATTTAATTAGCTCAAAGGTAGTCAAATGCCTAGAGATACTGAGACTGAGAAAATTTTAGGGGACTTGGTTATTATACCAAATAGAAGAGGGCGATCTACCTAACATGAAGTCACTCGAAATCATACACTTATAGGTATCGAGAATATTTCCTTGATGCATTAGCGACAGTAGCCAAACATTGGTACAGTCATCAGAAGAGAGTTGTTCAGTAAAATATCCAACAATTGAAGAGATGGCGCAGGGCTAAGACAGGCTAAGACCCTCTAGGTGATAGTAACTAGGAAAGATCGAATGCCTATTGCATGTAACTGTCTGAACGAGAATTATACAAAGATTAGTAAACTTCCTTACCGGGCGTTTCCGACTCAGAACACTTTAGGAAACTAGTGGAAGAAACTGAGTTCAGATTAAGTGAGAAAGAGGAGAAAACCTCCATCCACATTATTGCAGAATGTGTGACCGTACAGAATCCCAAGACACTATACGAGATAACCCAGATGTCTTCCCAGCTTGAAGCCGCTTCAAATTCTAATCTTCTACAGTGAAATAGAATAAGAAGGACTCTATTATAAAAGCTGTTTACATACATTACTAAAATACGGCTCTATCGACCGATCTTGTGGACTCATCTCGATTGAATAAAATTATCTGGTTGTAGTGAGATTCATAAACACTCTCAGCTTGTTCCTAGTTTCCGACAGTAAAAATACTGGTGATGCAGCAATTCAAATTTCACATATTGCTTTAATAAATAATAAAAATATTATGAACTGTTTACATGTATCACTAAATATCACAGAGAGAAAGAACGTCGGTTAACTACTGAGTTTGTAAGTAGAAACGTATCACTTGGGCAGAAAATTATTCATTTAAATTTCATTGTAAGATATAATAAGTCTTGAGTTGCATATTTAGTGGCGTAACTGCCTCACGTTGTATAAGAAAGTAATTCATATTTTGCGCTTGTAGGTTATGCTGAAAAGAAGAAAAAACTGCTTCTACTCTTTTCTGGTTCCCCTACCAACGGTATATCGAAATTTCTGGAGCTCCTGTGACGTCATGTTTTTAACGCGGCAATCTTGAGCTTTTCTAACTGTAATTTATTTAAATTTATTTTATCGTTTGTACGTGCAAGAGAGAGCGCTGGGCTGACATGGATACTTTACAATTTTATTGTTCTCGAAACTTTTAATTGATTTGGGCAGGTACGGAGCGCTGTTTATTTGAATTATTAATTAAATTCTTGTTAGATTAATTGGATGACTTATTTGAAGAGTTAATTGTTTAATTATCAATTGATTGTCAGTTTGGCAAACAGGGCTGGGCTAGCCTGTTGTATTAAGCAAATATGTTAGATGTATTTCCAACAAGGGATATTATTTAAGCGTCAAACTTACTTTCTTATCGGCTTTGTGACATAATATCTTTTAGGACACAGTATATTTAACATCCCAGATGCACATAACTCTTGATACTTTTTCTAAGCACTTACCTTTAATGGTCTTTTTATAGTGACTGTTTCTATAGTTGTCGTTGGTTGTGCCATATTTCTGAAACAAAATAATTATTCAATTTTTAAAAGTAAACAATATACAAAAATATGCGAAAATAGATGTAATACATAAGTAAACGTGAATCAGTAATAAAATCTTAGGTTGTACGACTTTAATCCCTAAGGATATTTTATTAGCCACTCGTTTTAAAATAATACACAAAAAATCACCAACCCTATCTAAAATAATAAAAACCACCGACATTTGTATTTAAAGTCATTTGTTGTTAGATAAATCGTGTCATATTTGTCATATATGTTGAATTTATTTTGTATTGAAATTAATAGGTAAATTATAAGAAACTAAAACTTTACTTTTCGAAAGGTTTTTAGGTTAGAGAAAGTAACCTATTTCAAAGCCATGTGTCAAACTTCACACGAAAGTGAAGATTTTGTGCACGAGTACTTAGCACACTATACTTTTCCTACGGCCACAATGACTAACTTTTTATGCAATTTTTTTTACTTCAATTTCAAACTTATTACAAAAATTAATATTAACATCATTACAACTAGGGTTGCCAGATTTACAAAAGAGAAAGCGGGACAGTGGTGACGACAGGAGATCAGGTTAAAAAAACAGGTATTTTTTATAAAATCAGGTCCTTTTTTGTGATCTAAAAAAATGGTCCTCTGCTTATATTTTTATAGAAACCAAGTCTCTTCCTGAAGAGCTTATCAGAAAAAAGGTCTTACCCCTTCAAAAATTTCTTTAAAACTGTGGATTTAAAAAGTGCGACATTTTTGTGAAAAGCAGGGCATTTTCGTACATTGGCGTGACGCCTTCCAGCAAGTTAAAAAGCGAGACAATTACGCCTAAAGCAGGACATCTGGCAGCGCTAATTACAACTAGAAATATTAAATAATAAGTAGTAAATCATGGACTATGATGGATTTTTCATATGCTATCCATTTTCTAGTTAGCAATTTTCAATATTCTTGAGAAAATGAAATGTTAGGAATAAAGGTTAAGGGATAATAATAATAATAATACTATCCCTAATTCACCCCCTTACGAGTGAATTTCAACCCCAAAAGCTGAGCTTGTGCGGGGAAAGGGACGGCTATTATTATTATTTGCCGTGGCGCTCCTGGGCGACTTAAAGATGCTTAAATATACTGATCATACATAGGATATTCGACGATAAGATTATCCGAAAATGTTTCTATTGGCTGATTATTTAAAAAAATATATGTCAGGATGAATCATCTGATAAAAGTTATATTTAACTTCTCTGACCTCAAATAATAGTTAAAAATTTCATGAAAAGAATCCCGCTATCTATTTTTCAAATAATCAGCCAATATGAACAGTAGTCCTAAGTGGTCTTGTACTTTTTTAAATTGTGTTAAATTGTATATCCAAAATTATTTTTAAAGTATGTATTTTTCAAATCCATGTAGGTAACTAAAATAGGGAATCATTTTATGATTGTAAAACCACAAATTCATATGTATTAAAATTTGAAGTGTATTAGTCATTTGTTTCCCAGTAAACAATAACCATTAAAACATCATGAAAATTATGAATCACTGCAGACTGCAAAATTATTTATAGAATAAAACTATTTTTGTCACCTCAAGTATGAAAAACATAATAAGTCAAACTAATAATTATTTTAAATAAGTGCTAATCAGGACCTAAAATGTTCTTTAGGGCAGTATTCTTATAAATATGGATTGTGATTTACATTAAAAGGAAATGTAATGTTTTTCGAAAGGTAGAAACAAGCACTAGCACTAGTACTGGTTGTCTAGGTGAAATAGAGCTAGGTTACATAGATACCTACCAACCATAATTATTGACTGTGGCCTATTTTAACATAGATGGGTAAGGTCGGCATATTTATTTTCAACTGACTTCAAAAAAGGAGGTGATTCTCAATTCATAGGAATATTTTTTTGCCTGTCGAACAATATAATTCTTTATCATGTTGTCCAATTTCTATGATTCTTTTTTGTTAGAAAGAGGGGTATCTCAGGAGTGGTCCTATATAAATTTGGTTAAGATTTAATGATAGGATCCTTGAGAAAATATTTGAACTATTCAATTTGCAAAGACATCTACCGGATTTTGGAGTTGATAATATTTACGAAAGATAATTAAACAACAAAGTAAAAGTGCTAATAATACTATAAATGTATGGAAATTATACCCACATACTAGAAGTACCTAAATAGATATCTACTAACTGACCATACTGAAGTTCTTTTAATCACAACAGTCTTTTGGAACATTTCAACCATAAACATAAATATAAAATATATTAGTAGTAAAATATGTATAATAATGTAAATAAATGCAAGTCAAAAACAAATTGTATCGGGTACTTAGGTACCTTAACAACAATCTTTGATTAGGTACCTAGTCTGTCAAATTTGATTGATGTAAATTTCGTTTATCAAACAAACTAATGAGAAAGTGTTCATCAAATACTATCTATTAAAAGAGGTTTAAAAAATAAGTTCACTCACCCGTTGTAATATGACATTTAAATCAATAAACAATAACAACACTGATAAAAACACTGATAAGATAAGGAAGGTTATTTAGTCCACCTGTCACAGAAACAGAACCGTAAACACTGTCAATTTATAAACATCAAAGCTCTTATTTTTATGAATGTTCTAATTTCTTATTTATTTGTTGTTTATCTTTAAAATGACAAGAGCGAAGATTGAAGATTGCAAAACAACCTGGACCACGATGTGTCAAATATTATAAAGTGGAGCGTGCTGCCAACAATATACAGAAAAGGAAATCCTTGGTTACTCAGCCCAAAGGGAATTGCAATGCGTAATGCTGCAGAGTATATGCAACCAATCATACACCGGTTATTTAAAAGATACCTACTTCATACATTTGATGAATAAAAATTAAATATATTTTTGTTCATCTTATGACTTCGATATACTACCATTTTGCGAATAATTTGCTCTTCAAACAATATTTAAGCATATCCATAAAAACAATCTTAAGAAATTACAAAAAAGTATTTATTATTATATTATGAGACCAATAAAACAAAAATGCTAGTTTAGTTTTCTATAATTTGAGAGCAAACTATACATAATTTCAAAGTATTGGATACCGGATAATCCGTAAAAAAAGAAAGAACCAATAACTTTACCTCTCTGGGATTTGATTCTTCACAATATCTAACATTACCTTACGCGCTGATCCAGAGATCCAGAAGAAGCCGAAAAAGGTTGTCGCCCCTGGCGATTTAATTTGTAACCCAAATCAACCAAAAAACCTTGTAGCCATAGATAGCTTGTAGCCCACCTCATCAAAATCTTGGATCCGCCACTGCATTACCTACTCAATATAACTTTTACATTTTATTAGTAGAGTAGACCTAAAAAAATAAAGGTACCTACCTAATTTACATGTGTCCTGTGGAGCGCGCGGACAGAATGGCTTCACCCGGCTGGTATTTACGGTCAGGGTGGTGGAAGCCCACCAAACGGCAAATTCCAAAAATTGGGTATCTAACGACGTTATTAACAGAGATAAGACATAATGTCTTCTCTCTGCGTTATTAACATGCAGCCTACAGGACTGTGACTTTTGAGAGGCTGGCTATATCCATATAGACACCTCTAGCGACAACCAGCAAAATTTTGATGAGTTGATAATCTGTAGGACTTTCAGCTAGGAAGATGGCTGTCTGTAGACATCATCCAGCGACAACCAGTAAGTTTTTGACAATTTGTTAATCTGCAGGATTTTGAGGAGGTGGGAAGATGCGGCTGTCTCTAGATACCTCTCAGCGACAACCAGCATGTTTTTGACGAGTTTATAACCTGCAGGACTTTAAAGAGGTGGGAAAAAGCAGGCTATCTCTGGGCACCTCTCAGCAGGTTTTAGACAAGTTGAGAGACACGTCCTACTGGCAAATTTTTGTATTGTATTCTCAACAGTCTCCACTTTAAGGTCCCTATGAAGATCGCAGTATTACGGTAGTATCAGGATGGGTCGAGGATGTTCCTTAATACTTTATTCTGAAAAACGTTGAATAACTTATAAATAATGCTAGTTTTTTCCATTTATTATTGTTTTAAGCTTATTTGAATAAAAGCGTGTTAAATAAATATTTTTTAACTTTTTAGTTTGATATGCTCTAAGCACGTTTTTTAGTTTTTTAAACTATATTTATTTTTCAATTTTTAGTTCGATGTATTATAAAAGCGTGTTTTTTAGTTCGTTTAATCTATATTTATTTTTTACTTTTTAGTTCGATTAATTATTAAAAAAAATTGCTGAAAAAAAAATTATTTTTTTTCAGCCGTGGACGGGATTAGGGCCCACGATCGGTGAGTCGACGTGAGCGAAGACCCGCGCCTTAGACCGCTCGGCCAACGAACGAACTTGAGGTAGTGGGATATACTGACAGTAATAAGCCACTTGCTTTTAGTCCAAAGGAGAGTTACATACATACAGGAGAAGCTAATAAAAGCGTGTTAAAAAGAAGCCAAGTGCGAGTCGGGCTCCGCACCGTCGTACAATATTTAATAGGATGTGGGTACTTTTTAAATACTTTATTAGGATCGAGCAGAAAAAGCCCAAAAATAACACGGTTTCTAGTCAGGGAGCCTCTTTAATTTTTTTATGTTATAGCTGCAACAGAAATATACATTCTGTGAACATTTCAACTGTCGACCTATTATCGGATCATGAGATACAGTTCGCAGACAGACGGACAGCAGAGGCGTAGGGTCTCGTGTTGGTTACCCTTCTGGCATGGAACCCTAAAAAGTTGCCTAAAAATATCCTGTTACTTTGTCAATGTTTTTAATTCGCCGCATATAACACAATATTTATTTTATCCAACCAGGCCTACTGACCTTATTACAAGGATAGTTCTTTTTTGCAAAATTATTTAATGCATAACAATTTCAAGTCTTATCAACTAATTAACTAACTTAACAAAAATTATCTAAACAGGATTATAATTCAAAATACAATATATGGCGAAAGACGACAAACTATTAAAAATGAAAAATGCGCCACTTCTAAAAATATTTTTAGAAATATCAAAAAATATTTTTTTTTTTTTCATTTTGAGCCTTTTATTTTCAGGTGACGTATACATTATTATTATTTTTATTATACAGACAAGTTGAATATGTATTTAAGAATTATATTTTTAAATTTACTAAAAGGAAGGTTCCAATCAATATCAAACATATAACTAATATTGTTGCCTAAGGGAAGCATTTCTATAGGAGAGCAACACACGGTATGTAGAACTGACAAATAGTACATTAAACATTGACATATTGCGTCTTATTCTTCACGGTACATTAAAGGTGATTAGAGATAACAACTGGAAGGAATTTACAGCATTATTTGGGATTTTATGTAAAATTAATAATTAAACTTTACGCCTACTCTCTAACGACACTATATTAAATTCAGTACGAAGTCGTGTAGTTCTTATAGTATTATAATCCGATCTTTTATTATATTTTCTGTAACAAAGATGCTTTAAGAACTTGTTTTGTATTTTCTCAAGTTCCTGTAAAGATGTTTGAATATATAGGATCACTGAAATAACTCTAGTAACTTCTAACAGTTTAGTGGATCGCGTGTCCAGCAAAAAGTATATCATGTCCCAAAATCAACCATTTTCTCAAAAAATAGGTATTATGTACGATTTGGCAAATTGAGAATGAAAAATTTGAATCGTTACTAACAGTTGTATGTATAATGTATACAGTCTGTTCGCTATACTTACGCGGGTTTCGGATTAACAAAATTATGCAAATTAGTCATTGACAACCAGTTCCAATAAACCTCTTCCCAAGAAATTAGGTAAAATTGCCCTAATGGTCAGATTTAAATTAAAATAACATTTAGCTGTAGGTACTGTACCATATTTTCTGTGTGAAGTGTAATATAAAATTATTATTAGGTTTATAATAGCCAAATTAGACTCCATTAATGAAGAAGTTTAATATTCTGCTCTCAATTATACAAAAGATTCTCCATTATTATTTAATTAAAAAGTTGTACATTATTTTTCATTTCATAATTTAACCAGTTGATATTTCCCCAAAGAACAGGTCAAACTTTCGGGTAGTTACCTGGAAATACTCATAAAATTTTTAATCCGAAACCCGCATAAGTATAGCGAACAGACTGTAATGAATGGGTTCTTAACAATTCTTTCTAGTTAATTTCTTGACGAAAAAAAAAAACACGTATAGCACTCGGGGACTGCCGCGGTAAAGCTATTGCATAGCATTTTTTATCAACTTATGCAATTATAATTATTTATTTTATTTATGCAGTATTTCTTTTCTTTGATATTAATTCAAGTTTTTTCTTTGATATTAATTCAAGTTTTTTCTTTGATATTAATTCAAGTTTTTTCTTTGATATTAACACTTTTTGGGCGTGGTGACCGATAAGAAAACAAATTTGTTTCTTTTATTGAATAAATGAGAAGTTAATATTGTTTAAAATATTTTTATTATCTTACAATACATGTATGTTATTCAGGATTTTGTATCATGAAACTATTAGGTTTATGGTAACTGCAATAAGGGCCGATTCCACCGTTGTGTTAAACGGAGATTAAAATGACGTTGTTAATGTAAAAATGTCATTTTAAACTTCGTTTAACACAACGGTGGAATCGGTCCTAAGAAGCTATATCAAGCTAGCGGGCACTCTGTGGCGGCACCATTCAAGACCTGGCGGGTTTTTTGTAGCTTTTTTGTAGCTTTTTTGTTACACTATTTGCAAATTTGTAGCTTTGCCCAGGTCCGAAAAAACAGCGGATCCGCTAGCTTGAATATCCATAAATTCCATAGTAGCGGCACAGATTCAGACCCAGCTGGTTTTTCGTAACTTTTTGTAGCTTTTTTGTTACGCTAGTCTCCCTTTTGTAGCTTGTACTGAACCTGAGAAAAGCGCGGATCCGCTAGCTTAGCGGATATTTGTAGCGGCACCAGCCCGGACCCAGCTAATTTTTTGTAACTTTTTTGTAGCTTTTTTGTTACGCCTGTCTCCATTTCGTTGCGAGGCCTGAACGTGAGTAATAATCGTTTCTCCATGAGGTGAGAGAAAAGTTCGTTAATTTAAAATGTTTCAGTCTCTACAAGTAATATGTGCAACTCGATAGTGTGACTATCTGTTGATAGATGGCACCAGTATTGCATTTCACGAATTATGGACATCTTCCATCCAATATATTTTTGAGAAATTTAGATATAATCTCAAAATCGGACATTTTCAACGGTATGTATATTAATTATTTGTCAGATATTAATGTAAAATACATATTGGCAAGATTATTAAAATAGTTGTATGCCGGACGCCACTATTTTGCCGATCGGGTGTTTTCGGTTATTTTTAACCGACTTCAAAAAAGGAGGAAGTTCTCAATTCGTCGCGATGTTTTTTTTTTGTGTATGTTCAGCGATAATTCTTTAACACGGTGTCCGATTTCAATGATTATTTTTTTGTTAGAAAAGGGGTACTTCAGGGGTGGTCCCATATATATTTGGTCAAAATCTAATAATTGGGTCCATGAGAAAATTCTCAAACTCTTCATTTTTTATGTATAGCGATAATGCTTTACCACCTTGTCCGATTTATATGATTCTTTTTTTGTTAGTAAGGGGGTACCTCGGGGTGGTCCCATATATAAATTTGGAACGTTTTTGAAGTCGGTTTTTTTAAATTTTTAATTTCTAATACTTGTAAAATAATAACAAACTTTACTGCTAACTTCACACCGGTGGTAATAGCTACCAAGCAATTACCTATTCTCACTATATACAGGGTGTTCCATCTCAGCCGAGCCACCCCGTATAGTTCTTATCTCATAGTAAAAGGAAAAATTTTCCGAAACACGTCTGATGATTTTCTTTGGGGGACATCTTTTGACGTATATATTTGAGGCTTGAACGAGCAATCCCCTATAAGGGGGCGCTTCAACCCCTCAAAATTGATTAGGGAAGAGGGGTTGGGTGATACTTCATTTATAAGGTCTTGGAAGCCTCTTTACAACGGTGTATGAAAAAAATCACATTCTTAAAAAAAATCAATTGTTTTATCATGCTTACAATCAAAAAAATCAAAACTGCGTTTTTAAATGAAATGTTCAATTTGTCTTCCATTGACTTCCATGCAATAATAAATTCTCTCGAACTAATAAATAAAAAAAAAATTAAAACATTTTCTTATCTTGCCTTCATTTTTGTTGTTCTTCGATCATTTCATGTGATAAAACAATTAATTTTTTTTAAGAATGTGATTTTTTTCATACACCGTTGTAAAGAGGCTTTCAAGACCTTACAAATGATGTATCACTCAACCCTTCTTCCCCATTCCATTTTGAGGGGTTGAAGCGCCCCCTCATAGGGGGTTGCTGGTTCAAACCTCAAATATACGTCAAAAGATCGATGTCCCCCAAAGAAAATCATCCGACGTGTTTCGGGAAATTTTTCCAATTACTATGGGATAAGAAATACGGGGTGGCTCGTCTGAGATGGAACACACTGTATAGTTGTGATCCGACAGAATTAAAAACTGGTCCATAAATACTGCAAAACGATTGGTTAAGGAAATCATTCAAAAAAGATGTAAGAATATTCTGGATTCAACAAAAGTATAAATACGTACATAAACAACACTAAAAAACATTTAAAAACAAATGTCCGATTTTGAGATTATATCTAAATTTCTCAAAAATATATTGGATGGAAGATGGCCATAATTCGTGAAATGCAATACTGGTACCATCTATCAACAGATAGTCACACTATCGAGTTGCACATATTATTTGTAGAAGCCGAAACTTGATTTTAAATTAACGCACTTTTCTCTCACGCTCATGGAGAAATGATTATTACTCACGTTCAGGCCTCGCAACGAAATGGAGACAGGCGTAACAAAAAAGCTACAAAAAAGTTACAAAAAATGAGCCTGGTCCGAGCCGGTGCCGCTACAAATATCCGCTAAGTTAGCGGATTCGCGCTTTTCTCAGGTTCAGTACAAGCTACAAAAGGGAGACTAGCGTAACAAAAAAGCTACAAAAAAGTTACGAAAAACCAGCTGGGTCTGAATCTGTGCCGCTACTATGGAATTTATGGAAATTCAAGCTAGCGGATCCGCTGTTTTTTCGGACGTGGGCAAAGCTACAAATTCGCAAATAGCGTAACAAAAAAGCTACAAAAAACCCACCAGGTCTTGTATGGTGCCGCCACAGAGTGCCCGCTAGCTTGATAGAGCCGTCCTAAGAAACATAAGTTGAAGACGTGATAACCTCTAAATATCTGGAAAATACCGCGTCAATAGGCGAGTTCGGTCAGTCAGGGGCTGGAGCGGGACAAATTTTAGGGTGCTTTTAAATGACATTTAAGCGTGTTAAACTGTCACTAATCGGACTAAACCGAACGCTAAAAGAGTCGTTTGGAGTTAAAAGTGTTAAAGGAACGTGGCAAACCGAACGCAATGAATGGTGGTCCCATATTTTGTTGTGGATCATTATTCATTTTCAAATTCAATTTTTCCGAAATTGTGTCTAAAAGCAGAGACAACTCTGCTAAAAGTGATAGAATCAGTTATGAGCAGTTAGCAGCCAGTCTACACGCATACGTCTAGTCGCACGCACACAAATCGTGCTGAAATTTTTCTATGGCTGAAGTCTGCCGAACTGAAACGTTAGACGATGCACGGCTTTCAACGCCGCACCGCTCGGAGTGGGGGGTGTTAGGTTTATTTTCGTTACGAAATTTCTTTTTCGATATTTCCATTTTTTTCGATTTTCTTCTATTGAATAAATGAGAAGTTAATATTGTTTAAAATATTTTTATTATCTTACAATACATGTAGGTTATTCCGCCGCACCGCTCGGAGTGTGGGGTGTTAGGTTTATTTTCGTTACGGAATTTTTAATTCGGTTGCCGCGCTCAAACCTATGCAATAGCTTAAAATTAATATTTTATAAATCTTGCAAAAAAATTAATATCTAATATTTACGCCAGCCGGGAACATTTGGGATACCAATTTATTAGAAGCCAGAGAAAGCTCTTCTAGTTCTTGTATTGCATAAACGTTCCAGTCCGCAGACGTATATTTAACTCCGCTTCATACTAATACCGCTCTGTGCCAGTCGGAGTGGGGGGGTGTTAGGTTAATTTTCGTTACAAAAGCTATGCAATAGCTTAAAAATAATTATTTCAAAACAAATTTGAGAAAACCTAAATTTGGACATGGGTTATTAAAAAAAAAACTTGTATTTTTTATTTTTCTTTATTTAAAAAGTCATATTTTAAAATTTTCGGAAGCTCTTCTTTGAACTGCTTCCCTTTGTAACTTTTAATACATTGAATCGCACTGTCTTTGATAGAGGTCTGCATTCACCAATGGTGACAACATCTCCTATTTCTACATCTCTGAAATATAAAAAAATATATAAGATTGATTGGGTATGCATAAAAATAAAATAAAGTTAGATACATATTGTAAACGTCAATGGAATTTCTGCTTGAAATATAAAGATGTTTTTCTAGGACCACCCCATTTAGGTATACTCAAGGGGTAAACCACTATGATTTCAGTGAAAACCCCTTGATTCTATATTATTTCGATGGATTCGCGAAAATCTCTCAATTTTATATAATTTTGGGAAAATTCATAATATACATGTGGGTCTAAAATTTATGCTTATGAAGACTAGAGAGAAGGAGGCGAATCGGCAATTATAAAGTTTGCGAAATTGACTGTAGTTGACATGTCGAATAGCAGCGGTGTCAATTTTCTATGTAAGTCAATGTAAAATGAAGTTATTTTTTAAAAAATTGGTGAAAAGAATCAAAATAATGTGAAAAAAAGTACCAGAGTACTAGTAACATGAGTGACAAAAAACGTCAAAGCAAGATATACGATGTACGAGAAATATGGACAAAGCGCCCCACGCTTTTTCACAATAATACTAGTATTTTCCATTTATTATTGTTTTAAGTTTATTTGAAAAAGTATTTTTAACTTTTTAGTTTGATATGCTCTGAAAGCGTGTTTTTTAGTTTTTTAAACTATATTTATTTTTCACTTTTTAGTTCGATTAATTATTTAAAAAAAATTGCTGAATTTTTTTTTTCAGCAATTTTTTCAGCCGTAGACGAGATTAGAACCCACGATGGGTGAGTCTGGCGATCGACAGACCCGCGCCTTAGACCGCTCGGCCAACGAACGAACTTGAGGTAGTGGGATATACTGACAGTAATAAGCCATTTGCTTTTAGTCTAAAGGAAAGTTACATACATACAGGTGAAGCTAATAAAAGCGTGTTAAAAAGGGGAAAGCTGAAATTAAAGGATGAGGTCATACCATGTACATTCCCAAATCTCCCTTTATGCTTGTATTACAACAATAAAAAATCTGTTAACTGTTTTATTTTGCTCTAAAAACTGTATATAGGCTCAATTTAAAAAAAAAATTGTCACAAAATTGTAATTATCAAATTTCAGCATTTAATAAACCTTTTCGAATTTGGTCATACCTACCTAATTTGTATTTTATATAGATAAAATTAAATAATTTATCAATTAAAACATGCAAGACTTATTTATAAATAAATACAACAGTATGTTCTGTGCTTTATTTAGCTATAAACAAGTCTATTTTTATTATTTTGACAAAATTATGTATACTTCCCATAAGAAGTCATGTATTTTGAACACAGCAGTACCAGCGCCCATGCAGTTAATTATAAAAGTTCAACTAGCGTGCGTTTTTTGAGACTGTATTATCTCTAGTCTTCATATTGCTGCTTAATGTCAGAAATTTTTAGACAGTATATTTAATAAGAAATCGAGACTATTGCTGTCTTTGAATATCCACATCAGATGCATCTGAGATGTAATTTTTTTATAGCGTGATAGAGGATTAGATTTAAATGTAGATGTAATAAACAAACGCTCTAGATGTAGTAAAAATGCCAATGACAAGTTAGAAGTTTATACTTTTTTCATTTGAATTTTGAGACTAGAAATCATCCTAAAATTGAAATCTAAACAAAAATTAAACAAACTAATCACTTTTATATTCACGCTAGCATAAACAAAGGATAAATCGATAAACTTGGCTTCACAGAACTCCTACTTTCTGGCATGTAATGAACATCTCATTTCAAATCGAGTTGTAAAAAATGTAAACTGGACAGCTAGGACTCGGATAAACAAAAGCAGATGGAGTTGTGTCTGATGTGGATAAACAAACGCTCAAAAGGTAAAAAATGCATTGGATGTGGATATTCAAATGCAGCAAATATATTAATAGTGATCATTTTAAGGATGCAATAAAATAATTTAAAACTATTAACACAGAACTATCCCTATTATAAGATTCCTCAATTTTTTGATAATATATTTTAACACTGGCTCCACACATCTAGGTGCTAGACCTAGGTGCACTATTTTTTTATATTTAATAATTCATTATAATATTGTAAAATTTGATTGCGTGAACAAATTATTATTATAATTTACTATGAAATTATTAAGGGTAGTATACCAAGACGTTGATAATAGTCAGCTATTTTTGTTAAATCTAAATCTCGAGAATATTTTATTATCAATTTGATGAGACATAATTTTTGGCATTATTAATCTGATTAGAGCCAGAGTGCTTTAATCAATTGTTAATGTCAAAATTATGTAGAATCAAATTGTTATTAGCAACAACAAAAATATCAGAATATTAATCAAGGTCGTGTTATATTTCGGACGACTATTTCACTAGACCAAATACTGACTATTTTTCTAGAGAAATAGTCGCTGATATTTGGTATAATAATTTACTATGAAATTATCTATAATAATGTACTATGAATTATCTATAATTTTTTATCTTGAATATTCAGATGACCTTTTTTGGGCTCCAAATATTTTTTGTTACATCACCAACTACCAGCTGCTTTTATTTCGGAGCGAAAAATTGATTTCCGAGTGAGTTCAGTGATGATTTCGGAAATTTCGGGAGAATTTGTAGCTATTTCGGGTGAAAATGTCCACTAATTCAGAAGTGGTTCACCTCTTGCGTAGACTTTATTTTTAATAATCTTTTTAGAGAAAATTTTGTAAATAAAGAAAAGCATATAAGCAAATCAAACCCTTAAATTAAATTCATCAAACTTATTGTTTTGTGAATTAATGTTAGAACAATGTATATTATAATGTAAAAACTCCATAAGAATATAAATGGTGTTCATCCACTTATTTTAAAGTATGTAAAAAGACCATTGATTATTTATATACTCTCATATAAAGCCTAGATTCATATACTAAAATGTGTTATGTACAATGGCTACTTTTAATAGTGTTCATAGATAAATAATTAATATAAAACATTACCTGAAACAGGGCGAAAGATGCACCGACATATTACGATGTCTCTTTTCAAAACGATTATATTTCCTAATATAATGTAAATAATCCCTGCGAATGACAATGGTACGCTGCATCTTCATTTTCTGAACGACACCGGTAAGGATCCGACCACGGATTGAAACATTTCCAGTAAACGGACATTTCTTATCAATGTAAGAACCTTCAATAGCCTGAAAATAATTAAAAATACATTTTAGCTATAAATTAGAATTTAAACATTCCAAGAAATAGGATTCCAATATGTTTAATTAATTGCAAATTGATACAAAAATGGATTCTTGAAAACTTATATGGAATTAAAAAAAAAAAAACTTAAAAATCATATATTTCAAAAACTGTCAAGATCGGTAGATATATTTTCACACAAACCTTATTTAATAAATAAATAAATGAATTCTGGTAATTCAAAAGGTTCTAAATTATCTTGTTTTATTCGAAATTAATCTAAATTAATGATTACTATGTTATACAGGCATTTTCAACTAACAGTAGTTTGGCCATATTTAGCAGAACGCTCATCCACAAAATTGGGCTTACCCTCATTAGAAACAGTAAAAACACAAATTTGATATCTTTATAAAAATACGCTTAGAGTATTTGAATTCACATATAAATATTCTATACTAGCCAGATGTTGAATTTATAGGTACTTTGAGGTAAACAAAAACAAGACTATATGGTTTAACAGTACTATATCGGGTGTCCTATAGTTTTCTGGCCAGTTAACAACCTGAGTTATTTGAAATCCCATGAGATATTAACTTGTACTCTGACAATTAATATTTGACAGTTGCCATTATTAAATAATACACCTATACTCAAGTATGCAAGTTGCTGTCAACATAGGTAAATATCAGGCAGCAAGCATAATAGTCAGTGAAAATAGTCGATTTATTTGGTTCTGATTAGTTCAAACGATAACGTAAATTGTGACGAGATTGCTTAAAATGTCAAAGTTGGCAGGCAAGGGAAAAAATCATAACTATCAGTATCTGTTATTAAATACTGATTTAATAGTTAAGGTTTTTTTCTTCTAATACAATATCCATTGGTTTAACTTTTTTTTAATAAAAGTGATCATAGGGTTCGTAGAAAAAGTACAGAGGTAACTTGTAGAAAATAGTTTTTTGACGATCGCAAATATTTAATTGTTCCTCTGGATTCCACTCATAAAACAATATACTAATACAATGTGAACTCTAATCAACCCCTTATCAAATGACCTCCAGAAATTGTGTGAATTAAATTTGAGTGTTATCTAATGAAATATTTTCTATATTAAGACAGTTAAATTTATCATTTTGGCCATTAAAGCCTAAAAAAGAGGAAGTATATATCACTGAAATAAGTGTGAAAAAGGGTCATATTAGAGTAAAACCGAAACATATTGTTATAATGACGGAAAGGTCGCTCTGTTGAATTCTTATCTTGATACTAGAATATTGAAATGAACTATAATAAAAAGTTTTTTTCGTCCCTTATACATTTTTTTAAATGTTAACTTGTCAAATAACTCTAATATTAGTTAGCCAAAAACCTATGGAACACGGGATATAGTTTTGTATGTATAACAAGCATACATTAAATATGTATCGTTAAGAATATACTTTCTTAAATTATACATGTGTCAAAAGTAAATCAATAATATTAGTAAAGCCTATAATTGCTATGTTAAGTTCATAAATACAGTATCGGAACCAAATATTTTAAGGAAAGTATAAATGAATCTTAAAGATAAGACTGCACCATCAGAGATTGTTATTGAAGGAGAGGAGGCTATTTTTTTAATGCAGAATAAAAGTGAATTCAGTGATAAACATCACGATCACTGAATTCACTTAATATATCTGTATATGCACTTGTTCTCCAAGCATTGATACACACAACAATAAGTATTGTCTTTTACACTCATTGTACATGTATTTAAAATAATTCCGTTTTAAGAGGAAACCGGACCTCTCGCGAAAGCAAAAATGTTTTAAAGATTATCTAATATAAAATTATATTTATATGCTTACCACTAAGAATACTTCGTGAAATTGTTTCTCGAGAATATTGAGAGCTTTAAATTTTTGCAATGATAAGGCAGAGGAAATCATCTTAATTAAATACTAGATATTTATTAAAACGAAACGTAGCAAATTTTTATAGATTAAATATAGAATGCCGCGGAAATATTTTTTTGAAATTTTTTTAAAAATATTCAAAATAAACACTTTTCGAAGGTTTAGTTATTGTTGGTATTTCCTAAACTTTTCATAAAAATGAGACTAAAAATAAAGGCTCAGAATAAATTTTCAAGGTGTTCGGTTTGCTCTTAATAGATGATAAAAATTGAATATACTTTTTATTTAACAAGATATCCTCCTTTGTGAGGTATGTCACGATCAATAGTTAATTTTTTAATTCCAGCCTAATTGACTACGATTTTGAAAAGTTTTATTATTAAATAAATTATTTAAAATTAAACACTTGCTAACCTAAAACACCATTTGCTCACACGAAAAACAAAACGTCAAGGTCAAATTACTATACTATAGTAAATTTGAACATAAAGAGTAAATTCCAAAAAAAATTTTTAGGATAGAAAAAAACTAATTTAATAAGCAAAATTATTAAATATATTACAAAATGCTATCTTCTTTAATTATACCTTGTCTTAAAAACTCACAACTATGGTTTATTGGTTTTGAGGTTAGCTATTGCAAAATTTACTCTCCTAAATTAACTATAGATAGTAAATTTTGTTCACAGTAGTGAGCGTATCTCTTTTGAGATCTCAATATGGTCATATTAGAATTACTCCAACAGTGCATAATGGAGTTTTGTATGCACATGTATAGTACAATTTAAATGTCCCAAATTATACTACACAGGTGCTTGCACAAATTCAGAACTATGTACTGCTGTTGGAATAAACATAGTATTACCCTCCCTTCTGCTCCTTTAAGTTTGGGTTCTCATAGTAAATTATTTTATTTCCGACACTGTATATATATTTTTTAAATGTAAACATGCGTTTTGGTTAATCATGTATATTTCTGTCACTTTATTTTAAATGTACATAATAATTTCCCTAAAATTCAGGAGGAAAGGATATTATTGTTACAGATCATTATTAATGTTATTTGACGTCCATGTGAGGAAATGAGGAAAACCCTATCCACTATCATGGACATGATAGTCCACTGATTTTGAAATATGGATGAACAACATAATTTAAGTTACTGCTAATACATGAACCATGACAAATTAAAGAGATTGCATGGCTTGATACATACAAACCAATTTGTCAATGTGTACTTCTAATAGTTCTAATATAGTTTTCAAATATGTACAAATTGGTGTATTTACTAAACATCTACAATCTCATTGTTTTATTTTTAATGGAATATTAAATTTTAAAATGTTTAATAAGACAGAACTTGCATATTTATTTCTGACAAAAATATACACTATATTTGCCTATTTACATGAGTCCAAATTAGATCTTCTGAATAGTTATACTATTTACACTTAAAGCAATACATAAGCTTCATTACGATGATATTGTTACATCAAAGCTAACAACATAAAGCATTATAAATCGCTAATGAAACTAAAGGTAGAATTTTACTACCTTATACAGGGCGCAGTCCATGGAGTTTCATACAGACTGAGAAGAGCTACAAAATCAAGAACAATGCTTTGAAGTTAGTTATGTAATTTTCAGGCAAGTAGTATCAACTTCTTATTACCATTTACCACTTCGGAAATACAGACTGTATGAAACTTCATGAATCACCCTGTAAACAAGAAAGCCTACTAAAGTTATAATGGTATACCAATTTTAAGACAAAAAATATTCACTTTTGCTGGCACACCAAGTTATTGTCAGATGTTCTCAAAGTTCAAGAATAGTTTTGACAATTGTGCACAAAGGTTTAATAAAATAATGAAGAAGCAAGAAAACAACAAATTATAATTATAGTTTTTATGATATATTGCAAATAAAAAATTATTTTGATATGAAATAAAAATAAAGCACTGTAACCCGTGGTTCAAGTGACAGAACATGGATATGAATTTGGGATACCATTATAAGCGAATCATGCATGTAATATTAAATAACAGTATTACTACCACACTACTTAGCTAGATATGTACTGCAACTCATTTAAAAATCACATCACTAAAAGTTTTTGTTAAGCCCTCTTAAAATAAAGCATTCTGTTCAGTCATCTTTTGCAACAAAAACATACATTTAAAGGCTAAACTTTAATATATTGAGATTTTTAAAATTTTGTTATAAAATGTAAAAAATAAATGATTTAAACAATCATAGCCAAATTAATTTTGAAATTAAATTTTAAATCAAGATAAATGAACTATGTCATTAAGAGATTTATCTTAAAAATACAAGTGTAGCTAAAGCTTCTTGAAAGACTGTTTTTAAAGGGTTTGTAAATGAAATTCAATAATAGTTACCTACTCACTAATATGATAGGCTAATTCAGACTTTGCAAATAAATCAGTTAAGATAAACTTTTTAGTTGATCCTGAACATGTCTAATCATATGATGCTACTAATTTTTTTATCTAATGAATGTTGCATGGTTCTTAAACTAACCTGCATCCAGTTGCAAACTAGTTTGGTAATTATCGTTGCTAGAACAGCCCCTATATCCCTTCTTAAAATACTTGGTTAAATAAATATAATACAAATGTATCAGAACTTCCAGGAAGCTTCTCCAAATTTCATCTTTATTGCTTGGATGGCCAGAGTATTTGTATGTCACAATAAAAGGTAAACAGAAATTACATTAAGATAGTTCACTTGTAAAACGCCTTTTTTTAAAGAATTCAATAAAATTGAAATATAAAGTCAATGAAAGTGCCTTGTACGCAACTAAAAAATTTTTTTTGACAGTCTGTGAAACGAGATTAACAATCAAAATGTGCATAATTAACACTCTTGAAGCCTATCATGTACACAAGCAATGCATTTATTTAAAGATATCTCGAAAACGGTTCATACTATATTTTTTAAAACCTAATGTAATGTAAATCAAGAAGTTATAAAATGTTCTAAAAAACGCTGAATTTTTTGACCGTCTTGGTAAAAAGATATAGATTTTATACAATGATTACAACTAGGCAACACTTAACGCGAGGTAACTGAATAACATTCGATCAGCTAAGTGGTTGTTATAAACTTGCGACGTGTTCTTGAAAAATTAATTCGTTCACTGTATTTGAGAACTGGAATCAGCTGTTCTGTTTGAAACAAAACAAACCTTTAAAATTAGTATTAGGAAGTCACAAATTTCTATAGGCCACCATTCATATATTTGCCATGTTGCCAGATGTATTTTACTTGAAATTATAACGTATCATTTTTAAGCAACTTTTTTTTTTTTTTCAACTAAAAAGCAGGCTAAAAACTTTCAGGAATGTGAAAAAAGAAGCCTCTAAAAATTTGAGCTCTTAATATTATCATTTAGTGGTGGCTGTTCTTAACTTTCCATTTTCTATCTAAATGACTTGGAAAAAAAAATTTCTTTGTTCTTATTTTTGTAGCTTGACATTTGAGCATTGTAAAAATAAAGTGAAAAATTATTTTGGTAGGAAATTGAACGCTTTACAAAAGTTCTAATTTATTTTTTTCACAGAGTGAGCCGTTCTGAAGATATTCAAACTTAAAGTTGCAAATGTATGAAATTAGGACTTTTATTTTATTAAACTGATGACTTTTTACTGTCTTAAAAATTATTTTCATATAGAAAGAAAATAACGACGCACATAAGACAAAAATTCACCAGAAATATTTTTAAACAAAAATATGAGTGACTTCGTTTCAAAACTATCATTGAAACTTTTTGACAAATTTGATTTGCCGTACGACTTTCTGGATGAAGATGTCTTAATTTGGCCAGATAATGAAAGTTATCAAGAGAATTTGGAGTTTTTCGAAAAATTGAAAGTTGTCAATGACGTTGCAGGACATGGCGTCGCATTAGTAGAAGAATATAATAGATGCCTGACTAAAGATGAGAAACAATTTTAATATTTATTACAAGTGGTAAAGGAGCACTGACGAAAATATCCAAACTGTAATAAAAAAACTTCAACAAATAATTTAATTCTGATAAGACATTAAATTATCTATTAGTTTCAAAATTTTAGTATGCTTATTGTTACAAAGTTTTTTTTTTATTTATAAAATAATAATTTTACTGAACCTAATTCATAATTACTTTTGTTTAACAGTTAATCAAATAATACCTAAGATGTAATTTTTTTTCCTACGACCACTTAGGAAAGTGACACATATCACGCTATATAGTCCTATGGAAAGTGTCCTATATCAAACGCGTATGAATAAGAATTTACTTTCCACCCTTGTACGAATATTCTACTTTCCGCAGCAGCTGTCACAAAATGTCAAACACATCATTTCTATTTTGATCTATGTAATGTCCATATTAATACTAAAATCGATATGATTGTTAAATTATTGAAATTGTATAAATTAGAACCTAGATATTTATCTTTAACAATTATTATTAAAATAATTTTAAAATAACTAAGATGTTTGCTTTTTATTCTGGTTAAACACATAACCAATTAGATCATTCAATTGATGCAAGCTCTATTAGCTCAGATGGTTACAGTGTCAAACTTATCAACTTTGCCATTTGAGACCTGACGAGCGACCGCGTTCAAATCCTGACGGGACCAGAATTTTTTTGTTTTTTTATTTTTTCTTTTCGTTTTTAATTTTTTTTTTGTTTAGAAAATATGGAAATTGAATAAATACGATTATTGTTGATTATTTTTTTAAATACATTTTAATATAATAACATTTTTTGATGAAATTATTTTGTGGTCATAGGAAAAATATTTTTCCTACGACCACTTAGGAAAGTGACACATATCACACTATATAGACCTATGGAAAGTGCCCTATATCACACGCGTATGAATAAGAATTTACTTTCCACCCAAGTGAGAATATGCTACTTTCCGCAGTAGCTGTCAGAAAATGTCAAACACATAATTTCTATTTTGATCTATGTAATGTCCATATTAATACTAAAATCGATATGATTGTTAAATTATTGTAAATTAGATCCTAGATATTTATCTTTAACAATTATTTTTAAAATAATTTTAAAATAACTAAGATATATTTGCTTTTTATTCTGGTTAAACACATAAGCGATTAGATCAATCAATTACGGTAAGGCCTGTTAGCTCAGTTGGTTAGAGCATCAACTTTGCAATTTGAGACCGTCCAACGACCGCGATCGAATCCTGGCTGTGCCAGATTTTTTTTTTTATTTTTTTTTATTTTTTTTTATTTGTTTAGAAATTATGAAAATTTAATAAATACGATTATTGTTGATTATTTTTTTAAATACATTTTAATTATTATAATAATCTGGTTTTACATTTTTTGATGAAATTATTTTGTGGTCGTAGGAAAAATATTGTACATCACTTGTGTGAAAAGTGATTTTCCACACTCGTGTGATAGTCGCACTCGGCTTACGCCTCGTGCGACAATATTTCCCACTCGTGTGAAAAATGTCACTTTCCACACTCGTAATGTAATATACTAGTACATCACTTGTGTGAAAATGTGAAAAATGTAATATACTGTTTATTTTAGCTTTCTAAAAATATTAGCGCACAAAACCAGTTTTCTGATTAAAAATAATTTTTAAGACATAAAAAAAGTCATCAGTATTAGTTTAATAAAATAAAAGTTCTAATTTCATACATTTGCAACTTTAAGTTTGAATATCTTCAGAATGGCTCACTCTATGAAAAAAATATTTTGTAAGCGTTCAATTTCCTACCAAAATAATTTTTCACTTTATTTTTACAATGATCAAATGTCAAGCTACAAAAATAAGAAAAAAATCCATGTTATTTAGATGGAAAGTTAGGAATAGGCACCACTAAATGATAATATTAAGAGCTCAAATTTTTAGAGGCTTATTTTTTCAACTTCCTGAAAGTTTTAAGCTTGTTAAAAAAAAGGTTGCTCAAAAATGACACACCCTAGTATATATAAGCTTACATGTGTTGTGTACAGTCTATTACAAAAAGTAACATTTTTTAGCATTGAGAATCTCAAACTTTTAGTATTCACCAATAGGCGATATTTTTATGTACGACTGTCGCAAGTGAACTACCTTAAGAATAACAGTATATTTTTTTTCAGTGTTATTTTAACTTGTCAAGAAATATTTAGATTACTTAATTAGTTTTTCAAAATAAAACACACATTTGAACAGTAGGAATGCTCGAATTAGTGAATTAATTAAGGAACAGTTGGTCAAGTTGTAGGAAAGTTATGTACTAATGCACATGTAATGTCACATGTCATCAGATTTTTTTATGTAACATTGTCAGTTTGTGATTAAACTAATATTAATAATATCGAATAAGTACAATAAATACAAAAATGTGTTCTGGTTACTGAAGATATTAAATTCTACACCACAATTCTTTCAGTAGCTTGGAGGTGCAATTTAATACTGTATAACTAGATAAATAAAAAACGAATTGAAAATATTTATAAATATAAAAAATAACCATTATTGACTTAATAAATAATTAATATTGTTCATGTACAATGGCTTGACAGTCATACATGCCACCATTTAGTTGATTAATATTATTGTAGAAGCCATTCAACTATCTTAAATATGATTAATCTTTTCCATTTAGGTCCTTATTTATAAACAGAACTCAGCTGAGTCGTTCTTGAACAAAAATAAAAGTTTGGTTATATTGTGTGAATTTAGAGATGGGTAGTAACAAATCCGTAAATTTACTTAACCGTTACAGATTTGCTAATATCCATCTCTAAATTCCAGTGTAACACCGGAACAACCTGGAACTTTTGAGACATTTTAACCGAACTTCGATTTTAGTTCAAGGATGACTCACCCAGGTCCGACTCAGCTGAGTTCAGTTTATAAATACGGACCTTAATCATGTGCAACATTTTCAATAAATAAACACTTCATAATTAATATCACAAACAAAATTGCAATTAAAAACAACACAAAATGAACATGAAGTGCATTTCCTGGGATTACAAGGAAAATCCATCAAGTCCATTTATTAAAAATTCTTATTAACTAAAAGATTAAGTCCGGTATTGTTTATTTTATCAAAAAAGACCATAACTATGTTAAATTCAATAATAATAATAAGCGTGTTAATTTTCATTTTATTTTCCAATCCCTAATTATTGAAAAATATTTTTCTAAAAACTACATATTTGGACTCTGCAGATTTTACTAGTACTGCCACGATTTATTCAGTGATAAAATTGCAAGTATTTCTAAATATTACAACAAGACAACAATGCTCTCAAATATTTCAATGTATACACCTCAACATCAATCTCAAAAAGTGACATATCTCATTTTTCCTAATTTTACAGGAGAGCAATTTAAAGTTTTGTGCTGCATTTGAGTAAGAAAATACGTCCCTCACGGAAATTTCTATTGCTATGTAATGGATACAGCTTGAGGCCACTTTGTAAGAAGGAAGATCTATAAAAAATTATGTTGCTACAGTCGAATCTCAAAAATGGCATTTTTTGAGATACGTCAGTTTGTAATATTGACTATATGGACAGTCATGCCTATCAGCTTGCACGTTAGTACATACCTCTCCTACAAAATTATCGAATGGTTTAACATGCACATATGAATCGCATGCAAAAATGAAAGCGCTAAATATACATAATAGAAATTCATATTAATTATACAATTTTCACATATGTGAGTTCAGTAATACCAATATACAAAGCTCCAACCCAATAACCAATGATTCCACCAGGCTCCCATAATATATAAAAAAAATAACGAACCTCTCTGGGAGTTTTAAACCCTAGCCCAATATTGCGGGAATGCCTAAGTTTTTTCTTGGCGTCTTTCCGGTTCAGAAAAACAATTCGTTGCTTTTGGAATGCCTTTTCGGTCTACACAAAAATAAAAATATATTAGAAAACAAAGTACCTCGCGAGGTGTCTTAAATCCTAGTCCAACTTCACGATGATAACGTAAAGATTTGCGTCTTTTTGGGCCTACTCCCTTCTTCCTATTCAGGAACATAGTAGGCTGACGCTGAAATGCCCTTTCATTCTGTAAAATTAAAAAATAATTGAAACAAGCACCACGTGGTAAGAATAAATATCACTTCAATCTGCAAATTAGAAAATATTGTGGACAATACATTATACTAAACAGAGTAAAATATGTTTAATTAAGTCACTAATAATAATATAGTATAGACAATGCATCCAGTAAATTATTTTAACAATTTTCACGAAAATACATACCTGATCCGCCATTTTTATAAAGAAAAGGAAGATTGAAAATTGAAAGAATGATGAATGTCACTGTCATGCATGTCACATTTCTTCTGTCAATATTAGTTGCGTTCGTTTACTGTAGCTTCGTTCACACTTTCGACTATTTGTAATATGACGGAAGCCTGCCATCTTGAGCTACCAAGTATTGATTCATTTTTGGTGCGTCTCCAACTGTTTCAATTTATTTTTTTTCAACTTTAAAGCTTTAAAATTTTTTTATAGGAGGTGTTAATTATAGAACATATCACAAGTTAGAACCTTCCTACCAAGCTGATTTGAAAATGTTAAATAAATGGCTATAAATTATATCATTGGCGTCAATCCTTTGTTACGACACGTGTTGAGACGATTATATTCGTTCCACAGAATGCAATTTGTATGTAATCTCTATTTGATTTTTGTTGAGTTCGTACATAAGAATCTCTGTTCAAAAACAATTGCACCATATGTAAGCACTATTCTGGTCCAATTTCCAAGGTAGTTTATACCTCAGAAATAATCTATGACCTCAGATGAATAAGGACCGATTCCACCGTTGTGTTAAACGAAGTTTAAAATGACATTTTTACATTAACAATGTTATTTTAATCTCCGTTTAACACAACAGTGGAATCGGCCCTATAAGGATCGATTCCACAGTTGTGTTAAACAAAGTTTAAAATGACATTGTTAATGTAAAAATGTCATTTTAAACTTCGTTTAACACAACGGTGGAATCGGTACTTAACAGTCTATTATCGATTAATTATTGTAAATATATTCATGACAAATATTTTTTAATTTTTGATCGTTATTTGTAACACTAACATTTTTGTTCTTATTTTCCAAACGAATTACCAATGGTGTCTTATTTAAAAATGTTGAGTGCAAACTCAAGAATGGAAATTCAGATATTTTTCTTCCTATATCAAATCTTCATAATAACGTTTTGAAGCCACTTTCTTGTTCTAAAACAATAAATTAATACCTACTTTGTGACAAAATTTGGCTACTGTGTTACTTACATGACTAGATCTTACTTTGGTTGATTAAAGAACGCCGCATTGGGGTTGTTACATATTTATTCATGTGGCATGTGTTACTAATGCAATACGTTCTCCGACTTATTGTAATATTACAAAATATATTTATTGTCCTCAAATTACACACAAAAAAGCCACAACCATTTCGCTTAGCTCATCGAGAGTGTTTCTCAAACTTTTTCGGCAACGGAACCTTTTTGAAAAGCCAAATATTTGACGGAGTCCTAAACTCATTAAAAAAAAAAAAAAGAAAAGGTTCTCAAGCAAAATCAAATCCTCCTTCCTCTTAGTGACTTCTAAAAAAAGAAAAGTCCTCAAGCCAGGTCCCTCCCCTTTGTGGCGATAGTACTCTGCTTCATTTTATTATGACTATTATTTTCTTCGCGGAGCCCCCACAAAGGCTTTAAGGAGCACAAGGGCTCCGTGGAGCACACTTTGAGTATCACTGATCTAGAGGATAACACAATCATGAATTTAAAATTTAAATTCAGGATTCTACTTTATACATACAATAACTAATTGATATTTATATTTACTAAGGACCGATTCCACCGTTGTGTTAAACGAAGTTTAAAATGAAATTTTTACATTAACAATGTCATTTTAATCTCCGTTTAACACAACGGTGGAATCGGCCCTAAGAACACTAGAGATAGGGAGGCAAATCAGCATACTCGAAATACGGCCCCAAAAAACGAACGCCAATTGAGCTTTTTTTAATTCACCACAAGGGCGCTGGTGCCAGTACCGATGTTCAAAAGACATGGCTTCTTATGGGAATTTTACATAATTTTGTCAAAATAATAAAAATAAATTTGTTTATTGCCAAATAAAGCACAGAATATACTGTTGTATTTATTTCTAAATAAGTATCGCATGTTTTAATTGATAAATTACTTAATTTTATCTATATAAAATGCAATTTAGGTAAGTATGACCCAATTCGAAAAGATTTGTTAAATGCTGAAATTTAGTGTACAATTTTCTGTCATATTTTTTTTTTGAATTATACCTAAATATAGTAGTAGGAGTAAAATAAAACAACAGATTTTTTATTGTTCTAAGGACCGATTCCACCGTTGTGTTAAACTAAGTTTAAAATGACATTTTTACATTAACAATGTCATTTTAATCTCCGTTTAACACAGCGGTGGAATCGGCCCTAATACAAGCATAAAGGGAGATTTGGGAATGTATATGATATTGCCACATCCTTTAATTTCGGCTTTCCCCTTTTTATTTTGCTAACAGTACCATCAGTAAAAAAAGAGTCTCATAATATTTGGAAATATCTTCTAAAAAGTGTATAACAGCATCGTCTCTAGAAAGTGCTTTATCGGTCCTAGGAACGAAATTATGCTGCCACTGTTCTTAGCGTTTAGGATCCTATAAAAAACATTTACAATGACAAAATTGGGGTTCAACAAAAAATAACAGTAGCAACTCTTTATCTAACATTTAAACTCTAAAAAAAAACAAATTTTCTTTTCTAGTAAGTTAAATTTAATTTATAATTATTGTTGTTTGTAAGTCAGGATCTATATGATTGTAAAAAAATTATTTTATAGAAACTTGTAATAAAATAAACTACATTCCGTGTTGTGACTAGTTTACAATAAATATTATATTTAGACATAAATACATTATTTTATTTACATTAGAAGCTTTAAAAAGACATTGAATTAATTTCTCCTTGTGTTTTTTTTAGTTTTACATTTGATTTGTATCCTGTTTTTGTGCCTGTTTTACAATTTGGAATGACGTAAATCTTGCTTTGACGTTTCTTGTCACTCATGATACTTGTACTCAGGTACTATTTTTCACATTATTTTATAATTTTTTTCACCAATTTTTTTGAAAAATCACATCATTTTACATTGATTTATATAAAAAATGAACGTCAGTGACGTGTTCGACCTGCCAACTACAGCCAATTTAGCGAATTTTGTATCTAGTCTTCATGTTCATACCCAAGATTTGACAGTTATGCCTCGGAGTCGAAAAGAAATGAACGCCAAACCTTGGCCTAGAAAATTATTTCATAGATGGTAATAACAATAACCGTAATAACAATTTCGCGTTAAATAAATTGTCAATAGCTGCTGAAAGTTTACAGAATTATCGTTTGGGATATTGCTTGTTTAAATAATTATTTGTAGCCCATAAATAGATACGTTAAAATGTTTAGTATTATCAGAGACAACTAGTTGTCTCTGGTATTATTTTTAAAGCCCTCCAACTGGGTTTGACGTTTACCACCTCTCTACCTACCAAATGCCTTTACAAGTTTACAACTTCTGCCCCAGCCGCCCCCCCCAGCTATTATTGCCGCGTTTGAGAATCCACATCGGATGTATTTTTTACATCTCGAGCGTTTTTTTATCCACATCAGACACATCTGTCCCATATTACATTTACGTATACTGAATCACGTGATCAAAGATTTACTACATCTCAGACGGGATATATTATTGTGATCTCAGATGCATCCGATGTTGATTCTCAAACGCGGCATATTTCGATACACAAATCCAGGCTATGATTTAAATTTTTTAATTAATTTTTTTGTTTTTAAACAATTTTTTTGTAAAGACTTCTATACACAGTTAAAAAAATATCAACTTAAGATTCACCCTATGGTAATAGGACTAATAGATTAATTGGAATAAAACTATTATAATAATAATACTCTCCCTAATTCACCCCCTTACGAGTGAATTTTAACCCCAAAAGCTGAGCTTGTGCGGGGAAAGGGACGGCTATTATTATTATTTGCCGTGGCGCTCCGGGGCGACTTAAAGATGATTGATGGTTCCATTTGACTTACAGGTGAGGAAAACCTCACCCACCATCATCGAGACGGAAATGTATGGCGATTTTTTATAATCTGCATGTCATATCAACAGAAATTGAATTTCTATTAATACGACACACATAAAATCCTATACCGAACCATGCAATTTAATTAAAAATCCACATGATCTGTTCTGGGATTCGAAGCCCAGCAGTCTCTGACCATAAACTTGCTTATAAATGAATATAAGCGCGTTAGACCGCTACACCACCGACCCGATAAATATTAAAAATACATAATAATTATGCATTTAAATCAAACAATATAGCATAAATCTAAGTTTTTAATTAAAAAATACCAGAAAGAACAAAATAACAGAACACTACCAGAAAGTTTCCCGGAGATGATTTCCAGACTGCGAAAATAACCTTTCTAAAGGTACTGATGCACAGACAACAGAAAGATATTGTCTGGCTATAATATAAAGGTTAATGCCATGTTAGGGCAAACATACTAACAGCCGTATGCATAGTCGATCGCCAGAGATTCATTTCGGCGTATCGCCAGCGATCCGCCGGCGAAAGCCCAAAAAGCTGGCGACTCGCCGGAGATTGTCATTTCACGCAAGTTTTCATGTTCTTTTATAGGGAAAAATTTGATATTCGTTCATTATTTTTTGAGTTTTAAGAAATGAATCATGAATAAAATGCGAGAGATACCGGTGATAATCCCTATAAAAGAAAATAAATACTTGCGTGAAATGACATTCCGGTGACAATCTCCGGCGAGTCGCCAGCTTTTTGGGCTTTCGCCGGCGGATCGCCAGCGAATCGCTGGCGATACGCCGAAATGAATCTCTGGCGATCGACTATGCATACGGCTGTAAGTCTTTCCATATCTCTAATGGGTTTTCATTTAAATTAGCAAGAAGTGCATCTGTAATATTCAGACAAAACCATAGACATCATGATACAGATAACACCCTACCAAATGAATGTTTTAGATGATACATAAAACTAATTTGATCGATTACATTGCCATGAGAACATTGATGGCTTAGGTTTTGATGCATAAAAGTTTTCTTAACATCCTTGCCACCCCTAATTTCAAATTTTCCTACCTATACCTACTTAGTTATCACTGATCTCTGCCTTTTCGTCAGTCAGTAATAAAAATTTCTTCTCACAATGGAACGCTTTCTGAACAATTATTTAATTTTATTTCCAAACTGTACTGACCTAGGTATTCTCCAATGGGCATTAAATCTCTTCCTTCATGCTGACTGTCACTGGAGAAGTTCACACCATCAAGTTGTGGATAATTCACTGTACTGTCTCTTTGAATCAGGGTTCGAAAATATCATGATATTTATATAAATATCATATCTCATGATATATATCGGATATATATCATTTTTAAAATTTAAAAAACAGTATTGCTTCTTGCACAAACTATATTTTAAATTTTAACACAAACATATTAACAAAAATCTATATTCTAAACAACAAAACTGTTTATTCTAACTCAAATTTAAAAGAAAAAACAAAAATAATTATTAAATTAAACAGATTTTAACATTATTTAGTTAACATTAATATTTTAACACATACATTGCTAGTTATTCTACTGTTATACAGGGGCGTATTGAGACATTTTTGGATGTTCAGAATGGTGGAAAACATTTTTAATTTAATAAATAAAATTATCGAATATATATCAAGGTATAAATATCATGATATATATCACTCAATATATATCCTATGAACCCTGCTTTGAATAATACTAAATTACCTCTACTTTACATCCAAATAATAATTTAATTAAAAAAGAGTTAATTATAATAAATATGAAAATTATTAATAAACATTTTCAATTATTTAATACATAGAAATATTAATTTAAAATAATTTAATATTTACAGTTTCATATTAGGTTTCTTAATATGATGATAATTTGGTAACATTTTGGTAAGTGTCTCCATTTGTAAAGTCTGCAACTGCAAAAATGATTTTCATTATATAATCATTCACAAAAGTTTTATACTTACTACAGGTCTATCTAAGCCTTCTCTCATCATGCACTTTGCTCCATAAAATACTATATTTTCTTTAAGAATCTGTTCTTCAGTTATTTTACACCCCGCACCAATTGTACATCCATTTGAAACTGTAACTTTATTTCCCACAAAGCATTTAGATTCAAATACATTATTATTTCCTATTTTTGGTGACTCTACAGTACAGTCGACCTCAAAAACATTATAAGAGCCTATTATAAGAACTGGGGTTGTCTTTTCTTTCTCTTTATGATCAAATGGCAATTTATGCATAATTTTCACTTGCTCTTCTATTAGACAATTGTCTCCAATTATTATAGGGCCCGCTTCGGCTATGATAGTTGCTCCAGGGTGTATAATAGTTCCTGATCCAATAGTTATGTCTCCACGTAGTTTGCATTCTTCACAAACCAAAGCTCCAGGGAGAATTTTAATACTAAAAAATAATATAGATTTTGTAAATTGTTGGGCAAATATTTTCTTGTATTTACTATACCTATTTCTCATCATTTTTATTTGTCAAATTGAATTGGAATATAAAATAAATTATTGTAGTAATTTTTATTGTTTATTCCTTTTTCTACAGGAAGATTAGTTAACAAAACAACCAAGAACCACTTTTTTATTTATTTATTATTTTGTATTTAGCTTTGCCACAGAACTTCCATATTCAGATTGTCTCTGATTCAGATCCCAGTGAGTCAACGTCTGTCAACTGTCATTACTGTCAATAACACCAACGTCAACACTGTCAACATGAGGCGAGTTCGGTCAGTCAGGGGCTGGAGCGGGACAAATTTTAGGGTGCTTTTAAATGACATTTAAGCGTGTTAAACTGTCACTAATCGGACTAAACCGAACGCTAAAAGAGTCGTTTGGAGTTAAAAGTGTTAAAGGAGTTAAAGGAACGTGGCAAACCGAACGCAATGAGTAGGGATGCGCCCATAGCCCTCAGAAGGTCTAGATACCGCATCGTAAAAACATTTTGACCCCCCATATGATGGGCGCCATGATAAATAAATGTCAATAAATTTTAAGTTGGCACTACTGACAAGACAGAATCGGCGCAAGTTTAGTAATAAGCGTAAGATCGGCGTTCGACGTATATAATCGATTTTATTATCTGTTGAGTTGTTTATTTTGTTTTTCTAGTAAAGGTTTTATTTAAAACATTATTTTTTAGTTTAGTCGTTTAGTGTTTTATTTTAATAAAAAACATTTGTGGTTTGGTGTTAAATTTTTACAGCATTTTCAAAATCTCTTTTTGTTTTGTACGTGAATGTAACAATGCATCTAACGGTAGAAGATACAAGGAAGGAATAACATTTCATGTGTAAGTTTTCACAAATATTTGTGTATTTACAAAATCAAATAATTTGTATGTTTTGTTGTAGCATACAAAAAAATGTTAGGAAAGAATAACTGATAGCCATAGGAAGACCATTGAATCATTTTGTGACTTTAGTATAAGCCCAGAAAATTTGGGGATACTAGCTGAAACGGCAAATGTGTTATTGGCTCCTTGTTAGTGACCTATTGTACAATTTTTCCAACACAAGTTCCATGATCCTTTGAACTTGGCTGCACCGTACTGATGAAGACCAATAGTCAGAAAAACGTGTCGACCGTTACTTCTTTTTTACTTTTTTTTATTTGGAAAATGTCCACTATTACTACCTTGATACAATAATATTAGTTCCGTTCTAAGTAGGCATATTATAGTTTGTATGTTTTATGCTTTATTTTATTATAAATATGTAATAAATGATAGGAAATATACTTTTATAGTAAATAAATTGATTAAAGCAATATGTAAGAATAAGTTTATCTAAGGATTAAATTTTTAAAGCAATTTTTCATATCTATTGTTTATTAATTTGTTTCATTTAATTCTTTCTTATTGAGTAAGTTATTTCATATTAATATGCGATACTTGTAAAATGTAATATATTTTTTTAAATAGGTATATATTATGTTCGTATAAAATATTGTTCAGTTAATAAAAACAGAAACATTTTGTCTTTTATTCAAAAGAAGTTTGTAAATTTTTCAAAATATATTTACCTACCCCAAAAAAAGATTAATAAAACCAGTTAGTCATATACACATTTTCTATATATTTATAGAGGTACTTTTTAAATAACTTTTAATACATTCGAAATCTGTGGTTTTATTAAACTCAATGTAACAAATAATAATAGGTATTCTCAAAAATATTTAAAAATAAAATCGAGATGGGACTCTTGTATAATTTAGTGACTATTCGCCTATGGTTAGTGCACTGCTGTATGTCCCTGGGTTTTCTACATTAGAACAATACTGCTTCTCCACTCTAGCAGTATTTTTTGCATCTCAGATTATATTTATTAAAAAACCAAGGAATTGTTTTGGGCCTATTGCTGTGCCCTTTTCCAACATTCCCAAAGTTTTTTTTTTACTTTCTGCTGATTGGATCTCCGATAGCGACAACTCCATTTCTTGTTCCACTAGTTTTTTTATCAAATTTTTAAAATAACTTCTATATATTTATCTTTTGCAATGACTTCGCTTACCTGCTTCATAATCTCTTCCCTATGCCCCAATTTCTCTAACAGGTGAGATCTTATACTCGCTCTATTAAATCATATTATCATTATAGTTTATTTGAAAATGCTTGGTAGCACAGTTTTTATGGCAAAGGTCCATATTTTTATATAATTTTGCTATTATTCATTTTCAAATAAACTATAGGAATAGGAGTAATCTATTAGTTTTTCTAAAAATACCTTGTTACCGATGTAAGTGTATCTTTCCCTAGTTAAAAAATTCGAGTTTTTATTTTCATAATATAATATAAATAAATGACCGGTTAACAATCACATTCTTTTAAATAGTACATTTGACATTGAAGTAGGTATTTTCTCCATATTGCCAAACAGGAACAGATGGTTTACTTGTAATTTGAATTATATTACATAAATCTCACTGAATTTCTCTATAATTCTCATAGCAATATGTACACAAACCACTTATCCAATAATATATAACCAAGTAAAAATAACATTTCAAGAACGAGAAATTTTATAAAACCGGTCCTGTCTGAACAGATCTGGGAAAATCAAATAGGTTTGTCAAAGTTTTATTCTTAATTTGAAATTAGAAATTGTGCATCTCACTCACTTATAACTAATAACAAAGTGCAGAGTATCGGTGTTCACGTATTACAGAACACACAAACTAAAAATCAGTGTAGCCAAAACATAAATTTACCTAACATGGCGACAAGCTTGAATGGGGTAATTTTTTTGTATTGACAGTATACGCCAAGCGGTATCTAGACTTTCTGAGGGCTATGTTTAAACCTTATTATGAATTATGATACCCCTCAAAAAAGTGTGATGCAACGGTAATGGTTTTTATTTACTTACCTATGAAACGTTATCGAACTGAACTTGAGATACTTTCTCGAGCACACAATACAATTCTCTGGCATTTTTAAGCAATTAAATGCACCAAAATAACTTAAACCACAAAAATTTTTCAATTAAAGTACGAAATAAACTCAAAATGAACCACAAAATAACCATAAAATAACTAACCTAACTAACGTATTCCTGTCAATTTTTTGCTAACCAATCAGGTGTGTAACCAAAATAGCGAATATCCAATCAAGTCGTGTAACCACTGCTATATAGTGAGGGAAGATGCTGGTTACAAATATTGCATGATAGAGCTGTATCTATTATTTATTTATTTATTTATTTATCTGGGGGAAAAACAAACATCGAAATTTAGAAAAATCGATATTTTCTTTTCCGATTTTTTTACAATATCGATGGTATTCGATGTATCATTTGATGACAACATCGATGTTTTAAAAAATTTGCACATCCCTATGCCGCGTTTGAGAATCCACATCGGATGCATTTTTTACATCTCGAGCGTTTTTTTATCCACATCGGACACATCTACTACATCTACATCTGCGTTTGTTTATCCCAGATGTACCTGTTCAGATTACATTTTTTACATTTCGATTTGAAATGAGATGTGAATGAGATGTTCGTTCCATGCCAGAAAGTAAGTGTTCTGTGAAGCCTTGTTTGTCAATTTATCCTTTGTTTATGCTAGCATGAATATAAAAGTGATTAGTTTGTTTAATTTTTGTTCATATTTCAAATTTAGGTCGATTTGTAGTCTCAAACGTCAAATTTAATAATTATAAACTTCTAACTTGTCATTGACATTTTATCACGTGACCAAATAAAGTCTAGAGCGTTTGTTTATTACATCTACATTCAGATCTAATTCTCTATCACGTGATAAAAAATTCACAACATCTCAGATGCAACCGATGTGGATTCTCAAACGCGGCACTTGTCAACAGTCGACACAGAACACGGAACCATAGAACAACAACGTAAGCAGGTACAAATAATCTTCGACCATGTATTAAAATAGACAGGCCCAATCATAGAAATAGTATTTAAAAATTATTTAAGGACCGATTCCACCGTTGTGTTAAACGGAGTTTAAAATGACATCTTTACACTCCGAGCAATTACTAATAGAGGGAGCGTGAAAACGCGTTTGTAGGCGATTGTTGTGTTAGCAACATCTGTAGAGGAAGTGAGGAAGTGGGCACAAGGGGGAAGGTAAACATCCTTCTTATTCAGTGGCATATCATTTATCTATAAAAACACACATTGTCCAAACGTTTTAATTGTAAAAAAAACTAAAGAAATTTGCTAATTTTACTTATTTTTAAAATGAATATTGTCTTATATGTGTCTAATGCAGGAAATGAAACAAAATCACTGTAAAGGTCTAATTTTTTCAATTGAAGAATAAAACCTTAAAATCAATTTTATAATAAATAAATACAGGAGCGACTAGTTTCGACCTTGCAGGAACATCTTCAAGAATATAATACAATATTCTTTAATTATTATAATAGGTTGGTCACTTACGAATAACATTAAATAGTATAAACCACAAAAATTGATCCATATTGTAGCGTTACAGCATTATGGAATTAAAGCTGTGTGCAAACTTAACTAAAAATAAGAAAACTGATTACGGAATCTACAAGAGAAGAGGTGAGAATGAGCAATTACGAATGCATTTAAATTGCTCGGGATAACAAATAAAGCTGATAATGTAGTGGTATAGTCCCCGTCAAAGAAGGTCTGGATATGTTAAAGAGGACGGCGTTTTCTCTGTAAATCTGGAGAATGTAGGGATGGAGGGAAGACGAATCTTGCTGGCTCAGGTGTAGATGGCTAGAAAAAGGAGCGTGTAGATGAAAGCTCCAGTAAATATCGTCACTTTCGTCTAATTTTTTATTATCACTGACCGTTTCGGCTTTATCTTCGAAATTAATTTTTAAAAGGAAATAAAAGTAATCATTTATACAATCATATAATAAAACAACATGAATTCATTATATTTAATAAGCTAATAAACGTTTGTTTCAATAAAAAAAAACATATGTGTTAATATAAAAATATATAAATAGATAAGATTAATATCAAAATCAATTTGAAAATACAACAGATAATAAAATGAAATAAATTAATACAAGTATAGATAGAAAGTTAATAACATACCTTCTAAAAATAACACATTTTAAGTAGATAAATGTTTAAAGAGTTTATTCCTGAACATAACTAATCTAACGTTTTTCCCCTTTTTAATATTATGAGGGTTTTTGTAGTTGAAA